CAGAAAGTCAAAAGAACAGAGAGGTTTTTCTGATAGCAGTAAACCTCTATGAGGAAGAAGTCTTTTTCTGGGGAGCTTTTTCAGAAAAAGGCATGTGTGGACGCGGAAGAGAGTGTTTTTCGAAAGAAGAGGCCTCCAGGAAAAAGCACTCTGTCCACAGTAATCACAGCTGAAATGCAAGATAGGGTCCATTCAGAGTGGACGCTCTCTTTCAAGAAAGCAGATCACTTTTCCATTGCGCTTTTGCTGTGTAGACATGCTCTTTCAGAAGAAGTTTTTAGGGAAGATCTCTTCCAGAAAAGCTTCTTCCAAAAGAAGCCTTCAGTCTAGACGTAGCCTGAAGCACCTGGCTTTCCTTGGTCCCAGCAAGGAGATCACAGCCATGGGCTCTGGCAGCAGGTCAGTTCCCAATGTGGAGCAATTGCTACAGTCCACAGGATGCTAAAGACACTCTTTTTTTTTTTTTTTTTTGCATTCCTTTCAAAAAACTGAAACTTGTATTTCAAGAGATGTTTGCAGTGTGGCTGTAGCCAGGTTGTGGGGTAAAAGCTTTTATTGGACTATCTGCTGGTGAAAGAGACAAGCTTTTGATCATCCCAAGAAAAGCTTGAAAGTTTGTCTCTTTCACCCACAGAAGCTGGGTCAGTAAAGGATTCTCGCCCACCTGGTCTCTCAATTTCCATCACCTTGCATTCACCTGGACTGCTAGCTGGCTTTGCATGTACTCACTCAGCAGTACTGCATGCACTGACTTTCCCAGCATGGATTTGTGCATGCAGCCAGTCCGCTGAGTTCGACTGTACCCCAGCTGGCTTCAGGCAGAGGTTTCACCCAACACTCTTACAAATGTTAATTCACTGACTGTAGCAGTCAGGCATCACCGGGGGCAGCCTGACAGGTCTCCTGCTTCTTCAGTGTTGACAACCGTTCAGCTGTGTGCGTTCATGCGTTTGCTACCCGCTAACTGTGTTGACCCTGCACAATTAGTCAACACAGCAGACTCCGAGAGAGCCCCCAAAGACCACAGAATCAGATAAGGATCGAAGGCGGCAGACCAGGTTGATTGTAGGTGAGATACGGTCCTAGCTTCTCCGGATCAAAAGGTCTATAGTTAGGCTAACACAGGCATGCCCTTTACAATGGGTCGACGTTGCTTTATTTGAGCAAAGTCTTCACTATTGCTCCTAGGCCTCAGGCCTTATGTTTCAGGCCTGTGATACAGTAGCGTATGTTTCAGACCCTCATCTTACTATATGGACTTTCACTGCAGCCCCCATTTTACAGATGCAGAAACTGAGGTGCAAAAAGGCTGCGGGTAAAATTTTCGAAAGCATGTAAGAGCTGCCATGAGGGGTCAGATCATGGTTTATCCTGCCCCATATCCTGTCTCCAACATTGGCCGGTGCCAGAGCTTCAGGGGATTGTACAGAAAAGGGCAATTCTAGAGTGGTCCAGATCTGTCTTCCAAACCTGGCTTCTGGCAGTCAGAGGTTAGGGTCACCCTGGGCACAGGGCTGCATCTCTGGCCATCTCTGCTAAGAGCCATTGATGGACCGACTGTCCTCCCATTTCAATGGAGACTTAGGAACCTCTGGAAAGAAAATGACTTCAACTCAAAACAAAATGATTAGCACCCGTCCATGTGGTCAGTGTGGCAGAGCTGGGACTATAAATCATACACAGATCTATGGGCCCTATAGTAACAGACCTGGGAACAGAACCCAAGACTCACGGGCCATAGGGATGAGCCTGTTTTGGAAAGAGGCATAGGAGCGTGGCAAACTGATGGCCACATAGCAAGTGAGCATCGGACCCAGGAGTCCGGGAGTCCACAGTGAATTGTTGAGGGAGCCAGGAAATTGACCCAGACGCCTGGGACTGCAGGCGGGTGGGCGCAGGAGCCAGGCATGTGGGGCTGCAGGCGGGTCAGTGCGGGAGCCAGGCGTGTGGGGCTGCAGGGGGGTCAGTGCGGGAGCCAGGCGCGTGGGGTTGCAGGCGGGTCGGTGCGGGAGCCAGGCGCGTGGGGCTGCAGGCGGGTCGGTGCGGGAGCCAGGCGCGTGGGGTTGCACGAGGCCAGGCGGGGCCAGCACACCCCCCCAAACAGAGATCAGAACCTGGCCCAGTGCACGGAGATGAGCACGAATCCTGCGGGAGCGGGGATTGCAGGAGGCCGGGCGG